TCTAATTTTCAGATCTGCGTTTCTTGCAATTCCATTAAAACGAAGGGGGGGGGGGGGGGCGTTTTATTACTTCACCATCTGAAAGTTTCTTATATATTATTTTCAGTTTTTGCGATGGTTTAAAGGGAATTACATGAACCGCAGACGTCCTATTGAAAATTGGAATGGTGAAAATTGATCCTTTCAGTGTTCCTAATACATATGTGAAGATAAAAAAAAAAACTTTGGAACCTTTAATATGGAACAAATGATGTGAAAAAATTTGTAGTCATGATCATATTGCATTTTTAATGAAAAAAGACGTTAAACTCCAACACTTGAATTGTTGCTTCTGAATGCGTTAGACAATATTTACATTATGCATTTGTAAGTAACAAGCCATATTGAAATGTGCTGTGATCAATGGAGATATTATATTATTGTTTTAAAAACAGAAGAATAAATGAGATTAAAGCTGCTGTTTTGTAAGTGTAGCCTATAGCCATCACTCGTTTGCCATGATTATGATAACTGTGAAAATATATATTTTTTCAAAAACTTGTAATATTTTATGTCGAATTCTGGTATTCTTTTATTTTTAATAAAACAAATAATAAGAAAACTGTTTTGTCTTCTAATAGTGCCATAAAATATTTTTTATTATACTTTCACTATACCAAAATCGCGATAGATTTTTTCACCGCTTTCCTAGATTCCTTGAACATTTTCTTTTTTTTTTCAATCTGTCGTTAGTCCGTCAATCATTGCAGTGACATAGTGGCGAATTCATTGGCATAGTGGCGAACTCATTGACGGAGTGGACAATTCACTGACGTAGTGGTGAACTCATTGACGGAGTGGCGAACTCAATGACTTAGTGGCGAACCCATTGATGGAGTGGTGAACTCATATATGTTGTTAAGTATGAAGCAATCCAGGGCTGAATACCTAATTTATTGGCATTCAGTTTTAGCATTCCTTTAGGTTGAATTGAAAGCCCCCGGACTTTATTGATATCTGTCATTGGAGCCAGTCCATGAATACCTCTTCCATCTCTCTGCTAAGGATTCCGCCAGCCCATCAAACGGCCCGTCATTCCGTATGACGGAGTGACGAACTCACTGACGTAGTGGCGAACTCACTGACGTAGTGGCGAACTCACTGACGTACTGACGTCACTCAATGAGTTCGCCACAACGTCAATGAGTTCGCCACTCCGTCAATGAATCCTTCGACCGTCAGTGCGTCACGTCAATGGTTTAGTTAACCTGACAATGTTATCAAAGTTTAGTTTTTGATCCATTCTTAGATTATTTTTACATTTTAGGGTTTTTTTCATTGACATCAAACAGTCATAAAATTGCCCCAACCTTTCATTGGGACAGTCTGTTAATACAGCGCTTCTTCATGCGTCGCTCCGGCATTGGTGTCAATGGATCCATCATTCCCGTCAGTCCGTCATTGGCTTTATCCGTCATTGGCGTCACTTCGTCAATCACCACAGTGACGGAGTGGCTAACTCACTGACGGAGTGGCGAACTCATTGACGGAGTGGCGAACTCACTGACGTACTGACGTATGAGGAAGCCCTTG